ATGGTAGTCTAAAATTCAAAGCAAACAGAAAATCATCTCAAACAAACTAGACCCTTAAAATTACCATTTAATAGCTGGAGAAATATGATTATTCATTGAACTGCAATGCTTATTCCTTTGTTATGTCTTCTTTCCACACCTATATTTTTGTCTTCATTATTTCTTTTCCACGACATCCTCCCCGACCCCTCACACTCTCATAACCCATAAAAAGCCCTTCTCAAAACCTCTCACCACTTACAACAATGTCAACTCCTCCTACTCAATGCAACTCTTTTAATAATAGAAACTACTTCACCATCATCGTTTCCACCTTCATGATGCTCATTGTTAATTTCATTGTACTATACTCTTATAGTTGTCTGCCTATGAAGTTTTCATGGAAATGCTTGACATATTGGATCTGTTGAGAAACATCGACTACTATAGAATTGATACCAATGAGTCCAAGCCCATCCAAAAAAAAATAGTAATAATAAATAAAGGTGGGCTTGGACTCATTGGTATCATTTCTACAACAAATGATGGTTCTCTGTTGATCCAACATGAGCATTGCCACAAAGACTCTATAGGCAGACATAAATAAGGGTATAGTACAAGGACAAAAATAATGAGTATCATGAAGATGGTGGCAATGACGATGGTGAATTTATTGGTAATGTTAAGAGATTTAAATTGAGTGGGAGAAGAAGATGACACTGTTGTGGAAGATGATGCCTTCCCCTTCTTCAATCACGCAAATCCCTCATATCTTATTGCCTTTGCTCCTTATATAAGGGTGCCAAGAGTAAGGGCTTCATGTGCCCTTCCCCCCATCACAACCGACCATCCTCCAGAGCTTTCAAGCCTCCCTCTTCGGTCCTCCCTTTCTTCTGCTAATACCCAAGCTATTAGCCCTCATCTTCTCCATTTTGGATCATAAGCTGTCAATAGCAAACCCTTCATCCACTTATTTAACAAGAGATAGTCTCCCTCATAGTTCTTCTTCTTCTACTTGACTAGAGCCATCAACATCTACATGCATTTGCCTTTTTTTCTTATTTATGTTGAATTTTTTTTAAATATTGTAAATTATTAACCATCTCCATGCAAATGTGTAAGATAAATTTGGTTTCATATGTGGGAGTTGTTTTTCTTTGTAATTTTCCTTATTGATGTTGGATTAGGTTAGTTGAAGTTACATTTAGGTATTATTCATACTGCATCTAATACTAGTATTTTAAAATTATAGAAATCATTTGTATAGTGGCATTTAACTTAATTATGTCTTAACCTAGCTTGTTTAAAATTAAATAATAACCTTTAATATGTTCACTTAAACTTGAATGGAATATGCCTTGTGATTATTTGTTGGATTATTTCATATGATTTTAGAAATTAAACAATGATTCTTATTTGTAGAACCTTTGAGTTGAGTTTCATTTCACATTTTTGGTAGAAACCTTAATAGAATTGGAGATTTATATCTCATATTTTGTTAGAAATAATTGTTATTTATTAAAGGATAAACGTATCTTCTATGATGAGGCATTGTCCTTGATTTTTTATTAGATTTTTGGATATGTATAAGTTACCTTCATGTCATTAGTATTTTAGTTCTTATTATGGAAATGCAAGTTTATCTCCTTTTTTGTTAATTATAAAATAGTAATTGGCCTTAACATTTTTGTCATGATTTATTGCTACATCATTTTCTACATGTTGAATTAATTCATATAATTGCAATATCTACCTTTTATGTCCATTACCTCTATCAAATGAAATATGAATTATTCTTGAAATTCACAATTTGTCATGCAAATACTATTGGTCATACTGATGGTAACACACTTCCTAACTATTTGAGGGTGATAAGTGAAATATCTATATTTGTTATAATAAAATGCATAATATTAAACTATTGTATAATGGTTAGCCTATTACCATGGCCTCAGAGAATTATAGGGCTTCGAGGGGCTTGGTCTCCATTTTCCTTTATTCAAATATTATCAAATAATATATGACTAATGAGTCATATGTAGACATGTAAGTGTTTATCTAATGTGGTGGCAAATAATGTTAGCACAAAGACTCAAGCTTATAATTGTTTGTCCATATAATCATAAGCTGAAAGCTATTGAGGCTTTCTTAAAATACATGATACCCTCCCACTCATGCAGTAATATTTCAAATTTTATAATTAAATGACAACAATTATACTAATATAACAGTTGCTCATGGTTTTTTTATTATTCAAATTTCAAGCACTAATGTATTGAAATTTATTCTTTAATAGATAGTAATTAATTGTTATGTTTAAATTGGCAAACTCTCTTTTACTTGTTAATTAACCCTAGAACCATGAGCTTAGAAAGCCATTGGCCTAGGTGGTATATTACAGGAACTCCTTCCTATTACTAGAGCCTAATCCAAAAAATCAGGAAGATGAACGGGAAGTGCATAAAGGTCGGGGAGCAAATGAGCCCACGCTCGTTTGTGTTCGGCTCGTAAAAAAAATATTTTTGTACGTATTCGGCTTGTTTGCTTAACTAGCTAAACACAAGCTATTTGCGAACAATGAACAGTTTTGACATCCCTAGTCACACAGCCATAGAAGTTTAAGGATGTGATTATTAAATCTTATTATTTATATTAAAATAATTATTTAACTAAAATTTAATATATTTTATTCTTATTTTTAATTAATAATTTTAAATGAATATAAATCTTTGTAACCTCGTAGTCAATTAAATTTATAATTTAATTATTTCAAGTCAAAAAAAGTCGAACACCAACAAATAAATCATTGTTCGTGTTTGGCTCATTTATATATCAAGCGCAAAAGAAAAAAAAAATGTTTATGCTCTGCTCATCTGCTTAGTGAACGGATCAAACACGGACTACTTAACGAGCTAAACAGTAGCCGTTCCTGAACAATAAGGTTTGAACAGCCCCATATAAAGGGCTAGTTGCATGATAAATGTTTTGACTCCTGCTCTTTATGCATCTCTCTTTGGCGAGATTTATTGAACCATGGTTGTTGGCATTATTGTAATGATACTGTAGCTTAATAAAATAATAATAATAATAATAATTTACGACATCACATTTAGAAAACATTTTAACATAATAAGCAATATTTATCAATATTATTTGATATAGACATACATTAAACTTATATTTTTGTAAATATAGATATACATTAAACTTCAAATCTACATGCTCCATGTAGATTTGAAGTTTTGGTTTTGCCTTTTTATGCACTTCCATTAATAACATTTTTCTTGCAGACTACTTGTAAAACATGAGATTGAGAATTGAGACAATGATGATGAATATTTTTGCATGGATTTTTGTTAATAGAAATGTCTCGTAAGGTAGTCTTAATTTTTTCTTAAGCAGTTGCTTAATTTTGCAAAATCTTTTCTCCGTTTTAATTATTTAATTTTGCAAATTAGGTTTCCATCATGCATGATAAAAATATGTTAGACTGAATCTCTCAGAGGAATGTCCCGTAGCCAGGACGATCCATGGAGCAGACAATTGGGCGACTCGTAGCTGGACGGCTCGCAACCTGGACAACCTGCAGTCTAGACGACCCGGCTAGGCCTGGATAACAAATAACCGGCCGAACTAACCGTACCAACCTGAAGCCAATTAAGCTTTTAATCAATCGCGCCAAAAAGCAGATGAACAGTTAGTTCATACATGTAAAATATCATAAATACCAATGTAATGCCCCCATTAATACAAAGACAAACATTTAACTTCAGATATTATACCCTCTTCCATATAAATAAGGGATCATTATGAATAAAATAGGTTTGAGAAGCCAAGGAAGACCCCAATTTCTCCTAAATCACTGTTCATTACTGTGCACCTCTCTTTGTCACACACACACATGTTGTGCTCTATTCCTTGGGTGTGGTTCCCGGACAAATCAGAATTCAACACATTCATATTTAAATTATATGCATGCTATAGTACAGATATATGAGATCCAAATCTGCCTTTGATCATAATTCTAAGTCCGAACAACAACCATAGTTATCAGATAGTTCAGCAACCTACAAATACACATTGGCATGAACTGCACTTATTTCTAAGAAAGAGCAGTGAAACAACAAGCCAGCAATAATGTGGCTTGAAAAGATGCATTGTATGATAACCCAACAACAATAATAACACGAAAAGGCATAAAAAAATACAAATTACGAATGTTAAAATCTTGAAGGGACCAAAGATAGGATGTGGAAAACCGCTTTTAAGAAACACCAATACCATACTCAATACAATTAAATTTCCTTGAGAAATTAATGCTAAGACTAATTAGCACATTTGCTAATGCCTTTTTAGTGTTATTTTTGTAGTTGGGTTATCCTACAATGCACATGTCAAAGGCACATTATTGCTTGTTTGCTCTCACATTGTTCTTTCTTTGAAAAAAAGTGTATTTCATGCCAATGTACATTTTGAGATCATTGGACTACCTAATAACAATTGATTTTGTTAGGCCTCAATTAAGAATCAGAGACAATGAGAAATTGGTCCTTATATACCTGCACTTCTAATCCCTTCTACATGATTTTTTTCTTCTTATTTCTTCTAAGACGACGCCCTCCTCAACCACTCATAAGTTATCATAACCTATAAAAAAATTATCTCCCATCACCACTCAGATAAATGGCATCTCCTCCTCCCACCCCACTCAACTCTTCTAGCATTACTTCATCAAACTCACTGTTATTTTCAAGTTGTAAAGATTGTTTTAGTAATGTTTGCTCGACACCAGAATCACTAGCTTCCACATGAATCACATGTTACTACCCTATATAATACCATAGCAGAGTATAATATGGTAAAGATAAAGAATATAGACACTTGGTGAATCCAATCACCTCATTGATTTTTTGACATGTAATAGACATCAATCAATGAAAAGTGAAATTCTCATCAATCTCGTTTGAAATGATTACAATCACTGAATGAGATAAACAAATAAACGTTCACACCAAATTCAAAACCATGTGGATATATAAGCACAAATATTTTTAATAATCATCCAAACAGTAAAGAGTTAAGTATTGGTTGAATAGACATTGTGCATGGGACAATATAATACAAGGAATCGGCACTCTGTTTCTCATTTCAAGTACTACACATGTGTACAAACTTACATTTTCCTCAAATTATCTAACCTTGCCTGTAGCTCACTATCAATTCCACCATCGTCAGCTGCAGCTGACTCGGCCTGAGCAACCTTAGTGTTTGCTGCTGGTTTGGCCACAGCAGATGTAGGCGCCTTGACAAGCTGCTCATAGACAAAGAAATACATGTCAAAACCTAATATTAGTTCAAACAAATCGAGAAACATAACAGATTTTTGGAGTATGTATATAGATATATATGAGTACCTCAGAATTGATGTCTATTCCAATTTCATCAAGGACTTGGCTGACAAGTTCTTCGGTTTCTTCCTCTTCTTCATCTCCTTCAAGAGCATCATCTATTGCATCACCCATGACCTCAGAGACCATCTCCATCCTCTCATTTTGCTGCTCAAACTCCATCATTATCCTCTGTAGTGCAGGTAAGTTCATTTGCCTGTTCATCTGTCTCATTGCCTTGGTAACACCCTTCATGGCCTCACCCATGGCTTGTGTTGACTTCAAGGTCTATAACAAAATCATAAATTTGCATCAGCTGCTTTTCATCAGAGCAAACAATATTATTAATTCATGGTTCACACTGGGTTTTGACCAATCAGCTTTAGTACATAAAAAAACACACAATCAATAACAGCAACTTCATTTAGACAGCTCACAGAGGGACAAGATAAGTATTTATGTGCATGCTTGTCTGATGAGGCCCAAAATCAGAACCCCCACAAGTGCATCACAAATTTAAGTTAAACATTCAGCAGAAAAAGCATAAAATTGATGCAGCCAAATGACTGCTCCAGCACAAAGGTTCTGAAGTACGGCCCTTAATTCATATATGGAAGAAAGATGAAGAGATCATGTAAGAAATTGTTAAAAGAACTAAGCTTTGCAATTGGTTTTAAGAAGAAATATTCCCAGTCTTATACAATGGATATACCTGGATAATATCATTTATTCAATATTTAAAATATTGAGCAAAGATCTAAATTACAAGAAATATATTTCATAAAACCAAAATCCAAAAAAATGATGACTCCAGCCAAATTACAAATATTTAGAAAAGAAATATGACAGGCTTCACCATAATAATTTGTTGCATCAAAGTGCAAATCAAAGAAAGCTTACACTTACATCAACGAATTTACTACGTAAGAGACAGACGTTCAAATGCAGCATAAAATTTTGGTCGCACACATAAGAAACATGAATAAGAATATTAAGGAGAAGCAACACACAAGCAAGGTTAGATGGTAATTCCTCAAACGTAGGACACAACAGACCTTATGTATATGGAAATATACATATTAAAAAGTTAATAGTATATGACTCAAAAGAAGTAACATACTTATGATAATATAATGTTAAGTATGGCAATAATGTCCTAGGAAGAAACAGCTATTAAGAGCAGGTACTAATTAGAAAAATCAGATAAAGATTCCAAGGGCTCATTTGATTCATGTAAATAAATGTTTTTGGAAATGATGCTTTAGTTTTCAGGCATTTGCATTTGTTGAGAAAATTAGGGCGAAGAAAAACAGTAATCGACACAAATTCAGAAGAACACAAAGATTTAACGAGGTTCAGCAAAGATGCATTCGTCCTCGGGAGCAAAGCAACGAGTTCTTTCACTATTCAGAAAAGAGAATACAGAATAGAGGGATATCTCCTGGGTTTACTAACAGACCTACTTATAACCCCAGAATTAAATCCTAAGTACAATACATAATTACAACATTACCCTTGTACCGTACCGCGGGATTTTGCCCCGCACCCCCAACCCACGTAACTTCCCGATTTGGACAGATTCTTCCGCTCCGCTCCGCTCCGCTTCGATCTAGCGTCGGTCCCTATATGATATATGAGTCATACCATAAAAAATCTTCACCTTGGCGAATATCCAGCCCCTTAGGAGAAAAGATACCTGGGAGTTACACCTGCACCACTGTGGGTTGGGCCACCATGCTTCTCTAGCAACTGCAAACATTCAACAAGTCCAAGCAATGCAAGAACTTGTTGATAGTAACTGGCTTGGTCAACATATCAGCTGCATTCTCATCAGTATGAACCTTCTGCAACAGTATCTCACCAGAAGTAATCAACTCTCTGATCTTGTGATACCTGACATCAATGTGTTTGGTTCTCGCATGGTACACCTGGTTCTTAGCCAGATAAATAGCACTCTGACTGTCACAATGCAACTGAACTCCACCTTGCTCAATGCCCAGTTCCTTTACTAGCCCAGCAAGCCATAAGGCTTCTTTAGCAGCTTCAGCTACTGTCATGTACTCAGCTTCAGTTTTAGATAATGTCACAATAGACTGAATTGTTGATTTCCAACATATAGGCCCACAACCAAGAGTAAACACATAACCAGTTGTAGACCTTCTGTCATCCAAATCACCCGCATAGTCTGAAAATCCACTTGACTGCTTCACAATATCTTCTTTAAGGTTTAGCCATGTATTTGCAGACTTGACTAACAGTATGAGCCACTGCACTGACATATGAAACCTTTGTCATGTCTTCGATTTCTGTATCTGTCTTAGGACACTGTTCTGAAGAAAGCTTAAAATGATTTGCCAAAGAAGTGCTTATAGATTTTGCTTTGCTCAGTTCAAACATTTCCAGCACTTTCTCAACATAGCCTCGTTGAAATAAACATAATCGTCTTGAGTCTCGTCTTGAGCCTCTGAATCGTCTTGAGTCTTTGTCTCGATGAATCTTCATTCCAAGAATCTTCTTCGTAGGACCCAAGTCTTTCATGTCAAACTCCTGACTCAATAAAGCTTTCAAACCACGGATATCATTCATATTTTTTGCAGCAATCAGTATATCATCAACATACAATAACAGAAAAATAATAGAACCATCATCAAGACTCTTCACATAAACACAACAATCATACCCACATTGCCTGTAGCCAATCTGAATCATGTAGGAGTCAAACCGCTTGTACCATTGTCTTGGAGACTGTTTCAACCCATACAGCGATTTCTTTAACCTGCAAACCAGATGCTCCTGTTCAGGTTGAGTGAACCATTCTGGTTGCTCTATGTAAATTTGCTCCTCCAGATCACCATGCAAAAAAACACTTTTAACATTCATCTGCTCCAAATGTAAATCTCAAATGACTACTAATGCAAGCACTGCCCTGATTGAAGTATGTCTGACCACAGAAGAAAAAATTTCATCATAATCTATCCCCTTCTGCTGTGAAAATTCCTTTGCAACCAGTCGAGCCTTGAACTTTTCCCCTTCTTTTTCTGATACTGTTGGTTTCCTTTTGTAGACCCATTTGCACCCAATAGTCTTCTTTCCCTCTGGAAGTTGATGTGCGATTTTTCTGCGATTTTTCTGCAAAGATTTCATCTCTTCAACTATTGCACCAATTCATTTTTCTTTCTCATGGCTGGTGATAGCTCCTTGAAAAGTGGATGGATCATCATTGCTGATGAGAAGTGCACAAGAGACCAAGTCTTCATAACACAATCTACTAGGAGGTCTTACATTGGTGTGTCTTTGTCTATCTCTGTCTAGATTATAATTTTGCAGATCATCTGGAATAGAATCACTAGGTGTTGGATTTGAATTTTCACCTCTCAGAAGCTACTGGCTGTTGTTCTAAATTCATCTGCACTGCATTTGAACTGGAACTCTTCTCTGATACTTTATCTTGATTCTGCTGTAGCATAAATTGCTAATCAAAAACTGCATCTCTGCTGATCACCATCTTCTTTGCAATCAGGTCCCAAAACTTGTATCATTTCACACATTTCTTATAGCCCTGAAAGATGCACTTTTTAGATTTTGCATCAAATTTTGATCTTTCATCTCCAGGTACATGCACATAAGCAGGACAACCAAAAATCTGTAAATGATCGAATTTAACTGGATCATCTGCCCATACCTCTTCTGCGACATTGCCACCCACTGATGCTCGAGGTGATATATTGATGAGATAGCATGTCATATTCACAGCCACTGCCCAGAAACTCTTAGAAAGCCCTGCATTCAGTCTCAAGCACCTTGCCCTTTTAGTTAAGGACCTATTCATCCTTTCTACTACACCATTCTGCTGTGGTGTCTTGCGCACTGAAAAATATATTTGAATCCCATGCTCCTCACAGAACTTCTAAAACTGCAAATTTGTGTACTCAGTGCCATTATAAGATCTCAAATACTTGATATTTCTACCAGTTTGGTTCTCCACCTCAACTTTCCCCCGCTTGAACTTAGAGAAAACTTCAGATTTCTGCTTCAAGAAGTACACCCAAACTTTCTTTGAGAAATCATAAATAAAGGTAACGAAATACTAAGATCCTCTCAATGACAACTCCTTAGTAGGGTCTCATACATCAGAATGCACATAATCAAGAATCCCTTCAGCTTTGTGTTTTCCAGTCATAAAACTGACTCTAGTCTATTTTCCAAGAATACAGAACTTACAAAGATCGAGCTTGCAGCTTTTAACACCATGCAACAAATTTCTTCTATGCAATTCGGTCATCCCACGTTCACTGAGATGACCCAGACGCATATGTCATAGCTTTGTACTATCGTCATCTGACTCCACAGAATGAACTCCACCTACAAATGTACTCCCCAACAGTTTGTAGATATTGTCTGCAGTTAACTTTCCTTTCATCACCGTCAGCGCACTCTTAACAATTCTAATGATTTCCCTATCATCATCTGCCTTAGGAATAAAATCATTTTTGTGTAGAGTGCCCAAGGATGCCCAAAGAAACCAGATTCTTCTTCAAATCTGAAATATGTCTGACATCACATAACGTTCTAACTGTGTCATCATACATCTGAATTCCGACTTCACCAATACCAACAGTATTGCAACATCTATCATCTCCCAAATAGACTGAGCTCGAATTAAATAACTTGTATGAAGTAAACCACTCTACATTATGTGTTATGTGATAAGAACACCCTGAATCAAGAATTCATGCATCCGTGATCTAAGTTGATGAAACTGAGAGCATATCGCCATCACTACAATCTGAATTATCATTCTGCAACACATTTATAGACTTCGATGAAGTATCACTTTTCTCTCCAATCTACTTCTTCAGCTTTGGACAATCTCTCTTCATATGATCTGGCTCCTTGCAACTGTAGCAATGAATTGTCTTTTTGCCTTTGGACTTGGATCTGTTTCAGAACGCTCCTCTTTCTTCCTTCCACGATCCTGCTTACCCTTAACATATAAACTATCGTCGTGAGAGCTTTCCCCTGCATTGCATTCTGCTTCCGTGTGAGCCAACAATGCTGCAGTAATCTCATCAACTTTGATAGTCTCTTTCTCATATGTCAGAGTAGTTACCAGGTGTTCATAAGAAGAAGACAGTGAACACAATAAAATCATTGTTCGATCTTCATCCTTAATACTCACATCAAACTGTGATAAATCGGTAATTATTTGATTAAAGTCACTCACGTGTTGTGCCAGATCAAAGTCTTCCTGCATCTTCAATCCATACAGCTTTTGCTTCAGATACAACTTGTTCGTCAGAGATTTTGCCATAAACTGAGTTTCCAATTTCTTCCAAACTTCTTCTGGAGATTTCAGATAGATTCATCACGTGATACATAACCATCACGTGATACATAACCTCATCTGTCAGACATAGACGTATTGTCGCTGCCGCTCGTTGTTGCAATTTTTCTCAATCTTCATCATCCATGACATCTGGTTTCGTTGCCCTTAGGGCCTTCAAGATTCTCTGTTGCGCCAACAGATCTTTTACCCTGACTTGCCATAATCCGAAGTTACCAGTTCCCTCGAACTTCACCATCTCGAATTTCGCACCAGAAATTGTCATTTGAAAATTGTTCTTGCAACGAATTTTTTCTGAAAAATTCATTTAGATCTTTCCTCTGTTCCCCTGTCTTTTCTGCGTCTTCTAAGAAAATTTGAAAAATATATCTTCCAAATTTTCTTCTCTGCAAGCAAAGTAATAAAATCGGAATTAAATTTTCTAATTTCCTTCCAATTTTTATTCTGCCTCTAGCAAAGAAAAGAAATTGGAGCTTCCAATTTTAGCCTCCAATTCCTTCCAATTCGCCAATTCCTTTCTATTATTATTCTCCTGTGGCAAAGGAAATTTTTAAAGTTGTCTGCCAATTCTTCTCCCAGCCAAGATTCTCTCCAGCAAGAGAAATTCAGAACTTGCCAAAGGTCCTTCCGATTTTAGGAAATCAAGTCAGGCTGCTCTCCGTGATTCTCGCCTTTGATTCCCTTTCTCCTGCCAAATTCAGAACTTCCCCTTTCTCCTGCCAAATTCTCGCCTCTTGCTATCTTCTGCTTTGACAAGTGAAATTCGGATCGCTGTAGAGGAGACAACTCGTGCCGCAACAAAGGAAAAGAAAGAAATCTTCCGCCTAGAGAAAATCGGACTCCCAGCAGCAACGGAAATTTCGCAAGCGATCCAGAAATTGCGTCTCCCCGGAAATTGCGCCTCAGCACCGACCTTCCACCGGTTTCTCCTTCCGCCCAGCAGCCTTCTGCATCGAACGGCGACAGCTTCCGCACTGAAACGCCCAGCAGCCTTCCAGATCACGAAGTCGCCCGTCACGAGAGGAAATGCTGTCCGCGAACTTCGCTGCCTCGCTGGAACAACCGCAAAAACGCCGAAAAATCATCCTCTACCAAAATCCGCGTTCCACCGAACTCTCCGGCGAATCCGAACTGCAGCGAACCTGCATCAAAATTTTTTTATTTCTGCCCTAGAACCTCGCTCTGATACCACTTGTTGAGAAAATTAAGGCGAAGAAAAACAGTAATCGACACAAATTCAGAAGAACACAGAGATTTAACAAGGTTCGGCAAAGATGCAAGGTTCGGCAAAACAAGGTTCGGCAAAGATGCTTACGTCCTCGGGAGCAGAACGGCGAGTTCTTTCACTATTCAGAAAAGAGAATACAGAATAGAGAGATACCTCCTGGGGTTACTAACAGACCTATTTATAACTCCACAAATAAAGCCTAAGTACAATACGTAATTACAACATTACCCCTGTACCGTACCGCAGGGCTTTGTCCCCGCACCCCCAACCCACGTAACTTCCCGAATTGGACAGATTCTTCCGCCCCGCTCCGCTTCAATCCAGCGTCTGTCCCTATATGGTATATGAGTCATACCATAACAGTATTGGTGACAATAAGATCATTACATTTGAAGGGTTTTGATATTGAAGTTTAAAAGTAACATTGATTTCTCACTACATCCAACCATTGATTGAATTTAGTAAATTTCACAGTTATACAATATGTTTTTCAATATCAAGCAATCAAATGACCTTTAAAATGCAATTGAACAATGTGAGTAAATGTGTTTGTGGGGCAGCCTAAGAGGTGTGCAATCATAGATATAAAACTGTGAACATCATTTCATACCCAAAAAATAGTGAACATCAAGTTTAAAAACAATAATATTAACAAGAAATGATAAAGACGAACAATAAGAGTGTTAGATTACTAAAATAAAGAAGATTTTGCATACGACTTAGCGTGCCATAAGTTGTTCCCAACAGGTGTCTATAACGCTTTGTTACTGCTTTTGTCCAATGACTGTTCAAGAAGTGCTAAGAAAATCTTCTAGAAAAGTATTGAAATTAAACACAGTAAATGGGATGTCCAACAAGATCCTAAAAAGTTTTCAAATGTCTCAGTGCAACATGGTTTCCAACAAGACAAGAAGACCAAAAAACACATGATAACTACATCAAAAGCAGTGGAGTAAGTCCTAACAGCAAGTACAAATGCTTATAACTGAAATTTTCAAGAACAAAAAAACAAATAAATAAATACCTGAATTCTCAGAGATACTCCTTGAAGCTGAGATTTGAGTGCATAAAACTTTGTGATTTGGTGTCTTGTCCGAATTAGATCTTTTGCCATGACTTTTACAGCTCCCTGTCAAACATTACAAACCAAAATTAGATGCTTGGTTTGGCTGATAATTAAAACATGCAGATTGTAAATTCTCCTCCCTTGCAAAAACAAAGAAAGAAAAGCATATAAAAGGCAACGATAGCAAATAAAACGTGGTCAGATCTAACGGCTGGCAAGTAAGCCAAACAATAATGAAGGCCACACGAAGTGTATGAGGTTCCCACTAATGCATACGCATATTTCATGGTAGTTGATGCAAACCTTTTATACACAAACAGCAAAAGAGAGAGAGGAAGAAATAATTTTTACTCCTAGTTGGAGAATAACTATTCTCCTCTCAATTTTTCCACTTGATACAAATTCCAAATTCAAGTTCACAACATTGATTGACATCTATAATATATGACTTCATGTGGATTAGATTTCCTCAATTTTTATGATAATTTAACCATTCATCAAGCATATCAAAATACAAAATCAATGGAATATGCTCTTTTAATGTATTTCACCAATCAAAAGCATCTAGTAGGCGCAAAATATCATCATCCATGTATTTTATTTCAAACCATTTGAAAATGTCTACATTTGAAATCACAAATTTCTTATCACGCAATTAAGCCATTCATTGCGAAACTTTTTATAATGCTTTTTACAGGTGATCAAACAATCTTAAAAGACCTTGAAATCATGCATCTAATAGTTTCAAATGTGTTGAAGAGGGGACCATCATATGCCACCTCACACACACACAAAAAAAAGGTGTATTTCACTTTTTAAATTAAAATAATGATATTTTTAGAGTGATGTTAAAGATCTGGTTTATTATTATTATTATTATTCATTTCATTAAACCATACAATATATCGCAGGCAATTCTATAGATTTTTCTATTTCAAAAAGCAATGGGATTTTCTCCACAAATATTCTTTTGGAAATCTTCTAGCAGTTTAGAGATTTTCAACTGAATATTTTGATAATTAAGTTGAGTTTGTAGAGTTTTCTCAAAAATAACTTCTTGTAAATATTTATTTTTAATACAATTCACTTCATTAATAATGACTTCTTGAGGATCACTAATGAAATAAACTATAATATTTTTATCAAAAATAGTGTAAATAATGTTATTTTGATCAATTTTTTTAATGAACTTTATTTGCAATAGAAAGTACCCAATATGATATGTTGGGTCAAATTTTTCACAAGTAAAAATAGAGTAATAATAAAATATCTAATTTACAGATAGCTGCATTTGAAAGTTTATATTTAATCTGCATTTGGTCATCACTAGCAGGGGTTAACCGCTAAACAGTTTTTTCAAAATATTTTGAAGAATTAAGTCATTTTTTAATACAATTCATATAAGCACACTTTCAATCAAAATTGCTAAGTTCGATAGGATATATTCTCTATTAAAAATTAATTTAATAGAGATATATCATTTATGCATAATAGGCTTTTGAATTGACTGAGTAAACGGTTCTAAAAGAATATTTTCCTCATTCTTATTTTCTTGTTGATATTGTTTTGATTCAAAATCAATTATTCTTTCATTAATTTTTTTTATCACTTCTAAAAATCTCAATTTCATTTTTAACTGATTAATTTCAACTTTAAATTCATTAATAGTGACTTCTCTTTGTTTTTGAGCAACTTTCTTATATACTTCTTTCAAAGAGTATATAGGAAAATCGTTGCTTATGTCTTCATTATTCTTATTTTTTTTTTTGAAAAAGTTTAAGAATTTTTTTTCTAGTAAGAATATCTTCAATTTGAGGAAAAAATTTTATAACATCTTCATTATGTTGATCTGTCATGGTAAATAAATAGAAATACTTTGATTTTCATCATCTGATAAAGAAGATAAAGATTCATAAATTACTTCCTCATATGAAATGAACTCTGAGTCGGTTAATAAGAGCTTCAATACAGTTTGACGAAGAGATTCGTCAATCTTAAGCTCATTAAGTTTTTTCTTAGTAGAACAATGGTTAGAATAGTGATCTAATTGTCCACACTTAAAGATTTAATTTATTAATTATTTTGAGGTTTAGAATAAGAAGAGTTTACAGGTTTAGAAGATTTCTTCTTTACCCATTTCTTTTTCTTGGGAATAATCTTCTTTTTCTTTTGAAAAGGGGCAATTTTAGAAATGTCACAAGCAAATTGCTCACAGAACTCTCCTAATTGTTTTCTCTCAATAAGTCTTTCGCTTTTGAGCTGATTATTAAGTTTAATATCAGCACAAAGCTCAATATCAGTTTTGACACAGGTATTTATTAAATTTCCATATGTAAATATGTCATGTGGAATACCACCTGTTTATAGGTTTTGAAGGTTTCTTTTTACCTTGTCTGAAAACAAATTAGGTAATCCTTCGATAAATTTTTGTTTCCAATGAACTAAACTGACATCGGATAATATCATAACTCTAGCTAAGAAGGTATCTTGGTATCATCTAAAGTGAGTGAATGAAAAACATCTTAACTCTTGGAAAAGAGGTCTAATTCTTTCTCCTTAGTCAAATATATCCTCAGCGAAATGTTCAAGAATTGCAGTTATTAAAGTGAAAACTGCTTATTCATTTAGTTTTGAGGGATCTTCTAACCCATTTTCACTTAGAATAACTTCTTTTTGATTATCAGTAAAAAGTAATCACACCAACCTTTGAGTATGCATGTGAATCTACTGACAATCATAATAGCTGTCAGAGGAGAAGCATATCGCCTGGCTTTGTGTCATTTTAGCATAGACCATTATTTGTTGAATTTCTTCACGAATTTGATGATCACTAACGCCATCTATGTTCCAAGCACATAGAGCTGTGGCATCACATGTCCTTTGGTGTCTGTTGGAAGTTTCACCAAAGTTAACATCCATAGAAGGAGGAAGTCTATAATAATATTTTTTTTCAAGAAACTTTTTTGGATAATTTATTTTATTAATTTCCAAAGAATCATTAGTCTGAAGGTTATGAAAAACTTTAGTAAATCATCAGCCTTATGTCAGAGAGTTCATCTTTTGGTGGATGAATTTTTTGAATTTTCTTCCAATTGTTAGAGGTCTTTCTTTCCATTTAGACAGAATGTTCTCTAATTCTATATTACTTGGTCATATATTTATTGAGATCAAGTTTTGGTGGAGATTGAATATTAGGATGTCTGATTATAGGAAGAGTATATTTTCCCTTTTCTAAGGTTATTCCTTTTTCAGGAACTCGTGTTTTAGGCTCCTCTGATTTTTTTCAAAAGTTGATCTAATTTATTTTTAATCTAAAAAATATGTTCAACAATTGTTTGTAAAGTATTGTTAGTAAAATTTAATTGTTTTATTACAGTAATGAATTCTTTTATTATTGTATTAGTATTGAGTCTTTCGAATGTTGTAAGCTCAAGGTTTTCGAATTTATCATTGCTAATGCCAGCTTTCAAGGGAGAATATGATGCTCAGTTACCCCTCCTTTATTTTGTCATTTTTTAATAATCATAAAGAGTTGAGCTTGATTAGTATAATGTTGAGTGAACCAAGAGACAAATAGAATGGCTCATTTCCCTTGCTTATTTCTTTTAAGTATGTCATCGAAATATATCTCGCATATTTTAAGACAAAATTCTTCAGTGGTGTTCTTCCAATGTCCTCGCATTACTCCCTGAAGCGTAATTCATTTAAAAATTAAAACTCATTTCAGAATTTGGAGTGGGAGAATAATTTTCTCTCACTAGATAAAAATTTAATTTATATTTATCTAAAATGTTTCGACTGGTACTTCTTCATGAGGTGAAGAAGAACCAACAAAACTTTAAGATGGGATTGATATTCTAGAAATAATTAACAATCTTCTTCGATTAAATCTGACTTAAACAACTCCATCAGATGTTTGAATTATCTGATTTATGTTTTGATTTATAATTGACTTTTAAGTCAAGGCTGGTTGAATAGTTCATAACTCGGGGAAGGTTAGTTTGTTCCATCTAATATTTCTATTAGTGGCAACATTGGAGGTCAAGAGGTTGGTTTCAATCAAGGTTGTTCGAACCGCCTCTTTAACATTATGTTTCAGAGTATTTAGAATTCGAAAGTGAATTATAAACACCAAAGCCATGGTTTCTAATCCCGGGAGAAACTAATAATCATGTAACTATAGTTGAAGTTTAACGGCTTCAAAGGGTTGACGTCCATCAAAGATAAACTTAAATTAGAATATGTGTTGAAATAAACTGACTCGTGACATAGACTATTTTCAATGACACCCATGAGAGACTGAGCCCGGTTGAGGCATCTACCATCTCTCAAAAAAGCAAGTAGTGATGCATTTAAATATTTTAAGGTGATCGGCTGATCTATTATGAACAACCTGGTTGAATAGTCCATGACTCAAGGAAGGTTAGTTTGTTCCATCTAGGAGTTCTATTAGTGGCAACATGGGAGGCCAAGAGGTTGATTTCAATTAAGGTAGTTCTTTCAATTGGTTGAACCGCCTTTTTAGCATTATGGTTCAAAGAATTTAGAATTCAAAAGTGAATTCTAAACACGGAAGCTATGGTTTCTAATCCTGGGAGAAATAATAATCATATAACTATTTGACGACTTCAAAGAGGTTGACGTCCGTCAAAGATAAACTTAAATTAGAAAAGGAGTTGAAATAAACTAACTCATGGCACAGACTGGTTTCAATGACACCCATGAAAGACTGAGCCCAGTTGAGGCATCTACCATCTCTCAAACAAGCAAGTAATGATGCATTTAAATCTTTTAAGGTGAATGGTTTGAATGCAATTTGAAAGAGACCTATATGAATATATTAAAAAATCCCGCATATATCTATACATGCTTTCATCTGTTAATAGATAAATTTTTTTATCAACTTTCATCTGTTAATAGATAAATTTTTTTATCAACCTGATCTATTGTGATCGATAGTTCTACAGTCTTAATAGAGGTTTTTGCTTTGAAATCAAAGGTTCATATTCTGTAGATAAGGAATTTATCTACTTTAAGAATGGATCGTCTATTTAAGTCTTCCT